GAGGTATTGCGATACTCTTCGGCTTTACAAATAATAGATTTGAACTCCATTTTTGGTTCAGTTACTGGTTACTATTCCGCACCAGTGGAAATATTGCTAGAAAGCCTTAAAGGCAGCGATTACGATAGTTCAAGAAGGGTTAGAGGAGACGTGGTGGTGCTCAATGGTACGCCAGTGGCGAAAAAAGCGGAGAAATCCGTCAAGAAAACGCAAAACGGGACCCTTTTTGGCCGTTAGTTTTCACTAATGAACAGGTAACAACTTGGAAAACGGATGGCACCTTTTGTCGTCAAGGCGCTACATGTCGTTTACCTGGCAGTCAAGTAACTGATTCGTGTTGTGCACATGCTTCCCCTGCGCTCCCTCTTTATCGTAATCGCTGCCTTCAAGTGCGAGTTCGCCAGGAGAACTAGCAGATATCAGTGGCTGTTGTTTTGTATAATGATGAGTGAATGGTTTAACGTTGGGTGACAATTGAATGGGTTTGAGTGTGCTATGCTTTTGATTGCTCAGCGATTTTAAAAGGCACTCATGATTTTTCGTAATTGGTGCTTTTTTTGTAGGATATGTGCTGGTGTAGGGAACGCGAAATTACATGCATTATCCATTATTCATTTTCTTATCACAGAATTGAGGTGTGTACATATGGTATTTGTCAAATGGGGGATCGTTTTGGGCAACAAATGGAAGAGTCGACTCCGGAAATGCTAGCATAGGGGAAGAAAATGTAAGTTCAGATAACTTTAGGTAAGCCTCGTGACTTTTTTAGACCTTGGGGCGTGGCCGGGTCAGACGCGGATGAGAGCCAGCGGAGAGCAGAGAGCCACACTGTCCTTCCCTCAAGCTTCCGTGGCATGCCTTCAGTTCGCGCAAGCCGTGGCTACGCCTTTAGGTGTGAAATAAGTCACGGGGCCATTCACGCATACATTTGTGTGGGGTTCGGTCACGAAAGTCTTGAAGGATGACATTTAAGGAATCAGCCATTGGAAGTGATAGCGAGGGGGCAGAACCGGTCGAGTTAGATGCTACGGGGCAGTTCTATGAAGAAGTTGTGGAGAGCATGGAGAGGATTCAGGGTTTCGCATTCAGCAATCAACAAGTAGGTTTTTTCTGTTTTGAGGGTGCAGTGTAAGCAGTAGGGTTTTCTGAATTCTCATTATGATAGAGTTCTGTACGTCTGTGAACACTTGAAGGTACTCGCATCGTTGCAGTGATTAGCTGCAGATGTGATTATAATAGTCCACCTCCGCTCGTCTATCGCGCGCATGAAAAACTAGGCTTTGGTGAAACGGACTCTTCGTGGTCGCTTGCGCTTCGAAGTCCATCGCTTTCCTTATCCGATGACTCCGTGGCCTCCTTAGCACGTGCCCATACCATCGCAGACGCTGTACGCACACTTTGATCATTTCCAGAACGTCGTTGTGTGCACCTCCGTGGTTTTTGCCGCCGGTTTTATCGGCCAAATAGTTGATAACTCCTTTGCTCGGAAAATTTCACTTAGAATTTTTTTTCTTAGAAAAATAATAATGAATTAACGCTAACGCTCCTTTTATGTGTTGGCATGGTACAGCACGCGGTCGCAGTGGATTAACCTGACCGATGCAATCTCCATCACCATTCTGACATCCTTGTTCCTGACTCTATCTAGTCCTGTCCAGCCGCAGGCCTATTTGAGCATCGTCATTTCAGTGGAGTGAAGCTGCCTTTCGTGATTCTTGTTCAGGGGCCAGCACTCGCTGCCGTATAGCATCGCAGGCCTCTTACTAGCGTCCGATACACCTTCCCTTGGATCGCTCTGAAACACCTTCCATCGCGGGAGCCCGCCACCGTGACTTTCTCTCCATTGGTCATTGCGGTGCACTGCTGATCCAAAGGCGTTGCCAGTCGTCACGCTACGTAAAGTCGTATTATTTGCGTTCCCAGCATTGTGAGGCTAGTTTGATGCTCTTCCAGGGGAGTCCAGTGGATTGGACTTGTTAGGCCTCTGTCCAAGGTGGTCAGGGCTCATTTTCTTGACCTTGCAAGCCGGGGAACCTCCTTTCTGGCAATCGATTCCTGGCCATTTATGTGCGTTTGTGTCGCTTCAAATTTGGTGTATAAGGACACCCTATTTTTTTTTGGAAATCTATAATAGGCGAACGGTTTCTCTCTCCGAATTTCTATTAACAATGCACTATTACACCAGGGTACAAAAATATAAATGAAATTGGAAAGAAAAAATGTTGCAGTTTTTTAATGACTTCTTTTTCTAAAATCATGGCGTCTCAAAAGAATCGGGACACTTCGGCGTTCAGTTTTCCCGAAGGATATACGGCATGAAATCGACGAATAACAAATGATTGAAAAAAGTAACCTTTTTTCTTCTTCTTCCGATAACTCCAATTATCCGCTACGGCATGCTTTGGACAAGCCTTGAGATCGTTTCCGGCTGTATCCGCTCTCAAGACTCCTTGACGGCGTTTTCAAACTGTTCTTCGTTTTCGAACTGTCTGCAGTTGGCGTAAAAATCGTCCTGTTGCGAGTTATGGCCTTCATTTGTAGGTCCCTTTTCGGAGAAGTGAGGGTGTTGGTCTGGGCCATCGTGATGATTTTGTTTCTTTGGAACCACTCACGTGTTGAGACACTTACATGAACGGCGGCGATGTCTTGTTGGAATTTGAACTTAAGGTGGGAATCACTGCATGTATAGTACCAAATGGTCCGGAGGATCTTCCTGTAGCCACTGGAGTTCAAGCGTTGCATGACAAAAGCCTTTTCACTCGTACGGAATGCTGAGAAGGCAGCCCCGAAACGAGAAATATTGGTAGTATGTTATCCAGGCGAACACTGACATCATCCGCCACCGAAGGCCGGCGTTCGTGGGAAAAAGTTAGCGTGGCTTTCCTTAAAGGAAGTGGTCACGATAATTCTCATAGGGACGATAAGGAAATCTGTGTACTGGGAGTGAATAGGGGTCCTGCACAATGTTAGAACACGTGAAGTTTCAGTGGCAGTGGCGCCTTATCAACGGAGTGATAAGGCGCCGAAATCCACTCGGATAGGCGCACAGAAAGCGGCCGAAGACTTGTCGATTGTTGAAAAGGGTGCGCATAAGGGAGCAGTGCTAGATAATGAGAACCGTGTATCGGTTATCGCCCCGCTTTTTATTCCGGAGTGCACATCGTTATTCAAGCAGCGGCCGCCGACCTCTTATCTACATGCGTATCTGATCTTCCATGAGGCTTAGGCACTCGTCCAACAATTTTTTGGCGTCACACCGTTATGCGCGTTCGATAACGCGAGATTTAGGCAAATCCGTCCCGCGCACCTTTTCGCGAAATTCGGAGTGTAGTAGCAGGAGAATTCGCGGCTTCGGCCTTTGCCGAACGATATTCCGTAGGTGTTGTCTCCCTTCCTTTTTCTCTCCGTACCGTAGGAGACGATGTTGTTGCAGAATTTGCTCACCAAAATGACTACCCCTCCTAATTTCGTTGGAGTGTTACGGTGGCTAAGTTCCTCTCATCCTTGTAAGCCCAAATTTGGGCTTTTTTTAAAGTCGGATAGGTGCATTCCTCGGGGCATGGCACTGTAGAACAAGGGTGGTAAGTACAGTCCGCATCTTGAAGTCTGATTGGGCGTGTCACCGGAAATGACGTGGCGGCCACCGCACTTGATAGATGTCGTGTGAACAAGATGCTCTGCCACGTCCAGCAAGAGATGCTTTAACCCACTCGCGACCGGGCGGGATTTTCGAAGACTGCCCGTTCGGACCAGCGCCGTCAGAGACGATTGCGCAATGTCAGCCACCGGTGGCTGACATTGTCCCAGGGGAAATCCATCTTGTATTTTTTTAGTTTTTTCTATATGTCATCCGTAGTTCACGCTGAAACTTCTCCCATAGAGGTTATCAAGGGTCCTGATCACGATTATGGGATTCATTTTTGGCTCTGGCGCCAAATTGGCGCCATTTGGCGCCAGATGGCGCCCTGACTGAATTTCGTCAAACTCGATGTAAACTTGTATATAGGGGTTATTTGAGGCCCTGATTACGAATATGAGATTCGTTTTTGGGCGCTGGCGCCAAATTGGCGCCATTTGGCGCCAGTTGGCGCCCTGACTGAATTTCGTCAAATTCGATGTAAACTTGTATGTAGGGGATGTTTGGGGACCCTCATTACGAATATGACATTCATTTGGCACTATTCAACTATTCCGACCCCAAAAACTCAAAATTTTATTTTTCGTCGAAACTTCGCCTATAGGGGTAATTCGGTGCCCTGATCACGAAAATGAGGTTCATTTTTGGCGCTGGCGCCATTTGGCGCCAATTGGCGCCAATTTGGCGCCAAGGGTGTTTTCACCAAATTCGCTGTAAACTTGCACATAGGGGTTATTTGGGGTCCTGATCACGAATATAACATTCATTTTTCCTTTTAGCGCCTGTGTGCGCCTGTTTTCCGCTCGTCTGCGCCCTCTCACTGATCACCTCGCGATCGGGACTAAGCCTTTGAGGAGGAGTGCTCCGAAGTGAATAACACTTATCCTGTGATCTTATACGCTTTAACGTTTGCCACATGTTGACTGGTTCACCCACCCCGGAGTCCTCCCTCCTTCTAGGCTCAGTCCTAGGTATTATGTACAAGTGAGAGGACCCAGGAGAATGGAAAATGTGCGTTGAACGGTGGAAATGCTAAAAACGAATGACATATCCGTAATCAGGACCCTAAATAAATAACCCCTATGTGCAAGTTTACAGCGAATTTGGTGAAAACACCCTTGGCGCCAAATTGGCGCCAATTGGCGCCAAATGGCGCCAGCGCCAAAAATGAACCTCATTTTCGTGATCAGGGCACCGAATTACCCCTATAGGCGAAGTTTCGACGAAAAATAAAATTTTGAGTTTTTGGGGTCGTAATAGTTGAATAGTGCCTTCATTTTTTTGATTGCCAAAGTCTACGCCACTTGCTACGCCAATTTGCGCTACGGCGCCATTTGGCGCCCCTCTGGCGTAACAACTTTTTTCCACGGTGCCACGTTATGGTGAAAATCTGAAAGCATTAGTTACTGATGGTCTTTATAATGAACATTATAATTCCTGGTGTTTTTAGAGCAAATTGGGAAGCTCCAACCTAAATGCAAAAATTTTGTTGTCATTATGAGGGATTGAACCTTGGACCGTTTCCTCACCTTTTTTGGCCTTCGCGGGGCCGCTCAGCGGAAATATACCTCGGTTTCGTAGTATGCGCATGAGCTCCCATAACATACAGAAAACCGTTTCGAAAAAGCTTTCAACATCCTGAACGACCCCCCTTGTTACTCCTGATTGGATCCAATAGTGAGAAGGTGCAGGCGAGCAGGAAACAGGTGTTAAATAGCGCTAACGATCAAAACGAATGTCATATTCGTAATCAAGGCCTCAAATAACCCCCATACGCATGTTTACAGCGAATTTGGTGAATACACCCTTGGCGCGCAAGCGCTAAAAACGAATGTCATATTCGTAATCAGGGCCTCAAATAACCCCATACGCAAGTTTACAGCGAATTTGGTGAAGACACCCTTGGCGCCAACTGGCGCCAAATGGCGCCAATTTGGCGCCAGCGCCAAAAATGGATATCATATTTGAGATCAGGACCCTCGAAAACCCCCATGGGAAAAGTTTCAGCGGAAAAAAAATTTTTCAACTTTTTCGGTGAAATTTTTAAGTCAGGTTATTTTTTCTTCAATAAAATTCTAGTGGATAGAGATTTCCTTTGCCCAGGGGTGGCCTAGATAGATGAGGGTATGAAGATTCTTCACAGCAAAGAAAATCTCCCAGAGACCTCCTTTTGTTTTCAAAAATTCCATTTAAAGCCCGTCAGCCACCGGTGGCTGACATGGTCCGAAGTGGACATCTTCGCGTCAGCCACCGGTGGCTGACATTGTCGCGAATGGGTTAAATAGCGCTAACGATAAAAACGAATGTCATATTCGTAATCAAGGCCTCAAATAACCCCCATACGCAAGTTTACAGCGAATTTGGTGAATACACCCTTGGCGCCAACTGGCGCCAAATGGCGCCAATTTGGCGCCAGCGCTAAAAACGAATGTCATATTCGTAATCAGGGCCTCAAATAACCCCCATACGCAAGTTTACAGCGAATTTGGTGAATACACCCTTGGCGCCAACTGGCGCCAAATGGCGCCAATTTGGCGCCAGCGCCAAAAATGGATATCATATTTGAGATCAGGACCCTCGAAAACCCCTATGGGAAAAGTTTCAGCGGAAAAAAAATTTTCAACTTTTTCGGTGAAATTTTTAAGTCAGGTTATTTTTTCTTCAATAAAATTCTAGTGGATAGAGATTTCCTTTGCCCAGGGGTGGCCTAGATAGATGAGGGTATGAAGATTCTTCACAGCAAAGAAAATCTCCCAGAAGACCTCCTTTTGTTTTCAAAAATTCCATTTAAAGCCCGTCAGCCACCGGTGGCTGACATGGTCCGAAGTGGACATCTTCGCGTCAGCCACCGGTGGCTGACATTGTCGCGAATGGGTTAAAGCAGCTTATCGCGCAACTTTTATCAAGTGCGTTGGTTGCCACGTCATTTCCGGTGTCAGACTTCGAGATATCGACTGTAGAGAAGTGATAAATTGCTTCCTCAAATCACCTAAGTCAGAAACACTGCAGAAGAACCGAGTGTCCCTATACTTTTGGGACGCCATGATTTTAGAAAAAAATCATAAAAAAATCTGCAAAATTTTTTCTTTCCAATTTCACTTATATATTTGTACCCTGGTGTAATAGTGCATTGTTGATAAAAATTTGGAGAGAAATCATTCTCCCATTATAGAGATACTGAAAAAATAGGGTGTCCCTATACGTTTGGGCCACACTGTATCTTGCCTTTGAGGTCCTTTCTGCTATCTGCTATCAGAGCAATGCGTCTAGGATGGTTCTAAATAATCCATCCATTAGTTTCTTCAATATTACTCCGTGTAAGTAGGGAAAGGAAAAGGCTTAGAGCTGATTCTTAATGTATTCATTGGGATGTCCACTTTCTCTCCCAGGACGGGCTTAGCTGTGCAAACCTTTCACTAGAGCTGTGAGGTGTTCCGGGGCGTTTCGTTCTTTGACCACACTCCTCAGCACAGCTCGTGGTGACGGTCGAACGCCTTTTTTAGGTCAGTGAAACTAAGTAGCAAGGTCAGCGGTTTTCTGGACACTCCTCCATAACTTGCATAGCGATGGAGATGGATCCATCGTGCATCTTACTGACACGAACCCAATGTTTCTTTGAAATTGCCTAGCATGGTGTGCGCAGTCAGCTTGATTCCGCACCATGTAGTTGGAATTATTTCTTTGTGTCCCACTTCTGTTTGAAGTGGGGACGATGGTACTTGTTGTCCAGACATCAGGTATCCTACTTCCGCTCTTTCTCACAATGCTTCTCATACCTCTACTGGGACTTCATCTCCGCTTCACCAACTTTCACCTTCCGTATTTCCGGGCGAACCTCTTTCTTGGATGCCATGAGACCGGCCGTAGCCTCTGCTTTGTAATTTTTCCTATTGGGTGAACTACTCGTTCGCTTTAGTGTGGTATGTCAAGGTGTCTTCCCCTTTTGACAGCTTCGTAATGCCGTCGCTGCTCTTCATTCTCCTCACGACCTTGAGATGTTGAGTAGCCCTATATCCGACATTATTCAGCTAAAGAGTAACTTTTTTACGTCTTGGCTTTCCAGCTTCTATAAGGCGTCCATTTCGGTGTTCTTCACTTTGCCACTTTGCCGACAGCAGGCTTCGCAAGCCCCCTGGTCATGAATGATCTGAGGTTCCCGCAGAAAGAATATCGAATAGAATCGAATAATAGAATAGAATCGCTCGCTCTATGTCTCAACGACTCACACGCCATCACGCTTAGGAATTGGAGCTCAAGAAGAACTGTTGGAGGCTTATCCTGTACTAATTGAGGGACTAAAGTGTAGTAGAGAGGTGGATGGATAACATCAATATTCTGTCAACTTCATAATATCGTTTCAGATGCATAACCTAATACTTGAAATAAATTCGTCCAAGCTTGCGTATAATATATCGATGGAGGATGTGGCGAAATACGTATATTCTGCGTTTCTAGGTCTACCTGGAAACGAGACCTGGACAGGGTTGAAGGAGGTCAGCATTCATGTCTTCACTACAATATACATATGTAAGCAGTCGTTATCATTGGTAAAGGATGAACATGTTTTAGCTCAGCCAGAAGTGGAAACTTTTATTTTCAAACTACTATAAACCACGAAAAAGCCAAATTCAGCTCCTCCTAGCCATTGAGGTGAGTGTGTTCTAAATATCTTATACGCCCAATAGAAAACTAAGTGGTACTGGAAGTCGCATGGAGAGGGTAGCAGACACACAAGGAATTACTTTAGATTGTACTACTCTCATCTTTGATGAATTGTTTGAATTATTCAGGTCGTTTTTTTTTTCTCTCCAAAATCCTCTGTTGGAGCTTGTGATACAAATTTGGTTTAGTAACCTCAGCAATTCTAGGATCGCTTCAAAGAGAGTCCTACGGAGTTTGGCAAATTAGTAACGAGACTCGTGCATTTTTTGTATAACGAAATGGACATTTTGGAAGAAGAAGCAATTCTGGAATGGGCAGCTACATTAGATGAGGTGCTGTGTTTGCTACATTTGTTTTTGAGTTGCTTGTTTAGAGCTAATTGGTATATTTGCAGGACTCCGAACTAAAGCGAATAATGAAGCCCATTGTGGACTGGTTACAGGAAGACAGTGGCGAAGAAAGTGAAGATGTTTGAATATGGATGTAAAGATATCTTTGAAGATGTTGATTTATATTGTTAAGTTCTTAGTCGTTGCTATCTTGGGTGCACGCGTGTGCGTGTGCGATTTCTCTTCTAGGCTTCCGAAGAAACATTGTGTTGGAAAACATTCACCAGCTGGAAACAATATAATGTTAAAAATAAAGATATGAGTTTCTTCTTTGTTCTGAGAAACTGTGTTGATCTCTCCGAGTATCTTCAGTGTTGTTCACTCACTACCTGAAAGAACGTTTAGCAAAATTAAATTTCCCCCAAGTATGGTGCTCCGACAGGCTCTTCAAACCGATCCTCAAAAAACTGATCGTTGCGGCTTCGCACGCCAGTAGTATTGGAATAGATATTATTGCAAAATAAAGCGTAGCAGTACATGTGTACTTGACGGGATTCACTCTCATTTTTCTGGCGCTTCGCTATGCTTTCTTGAAATCCCCTGACGCCTTCCTTTTTACGTTGCTCTGTTTTGCGGCACAGGCCACAATCTCACTGCTAAAACTCCTCTAGCACACTAAGTCATTCACTTAAAGCTGATCGCAGTAGCTTTGCTGTCAGAATCTGTTTTATATCCTTGCCCGTGATCTCCACAAATCACTTTTCAGTTCGCAGTCTTTTCATAATTGAAAAGTTATCATGTGGCAAAAGATTTATCAATGTTTAATATGAAATGATAATTTTGTTCTCTTGCTTGTCCGATGAATCTGTTACCGATCCTCTGACTTGGAGGTATGAATGGTCTGCTTGGTTCAGCAGGATTCGGACCGTGAATGACCTTGTATCGTGCGCCATAGGGTGTTCGCTTTTCCACAAAACCACCTTTTTTTCAACGCAGTGGGAATAATAAGAGTCAAGGCACGTACTTTCTAATGCTTATGTGATTTTGCGTTCTATGTTTGTGTAACGCCCTAGTCGGCTTATCCGTACCCTCTGTGGCTCATCACGGGTTTATTGCGCATTAAGAGTTAGTACACTAATACATTGGAGAACTTTATTTCATTCAGAGGTGATTGAGTGCCTGTGCGTTTCTCCATGGCGGCAACTTATGAGACCGTGGTTCTGCCCCTCCTCTCCAATTCACCAAGCATTCTGTCTTTAATTGTGGAAAAGGGGTGCAGAACGTCCATTAAACTTTGGAGTTTTGAATGCGAGTCGGAGTCAGATCTCTTGCTATAAAGTGTTGTCAGTCTTCAGTGTCAGTGCAAGCTGAACCACGCTCCTACGTTTCTTGTTATAAGTGAGATAATTGTATGTGATCAGCAGGAGCGCAACTGAGCTAGCCTATCATAGTATTGCTTTGACAGATGAATAGTCCGCTGCTTCAGTATTTTTTCGCCATAGTCATATCTTTCGAATTCCCTCCTCCTCGCTATTCACTTTTTTAGTGTCGTCATGTTTGGAAATTAATGTGCAACAATAGTTTGAGACTCTGAAATTGATCTTCAAATATTGGTCGGCTACAATCAAGCATTTGTCTGATCAAAATATGCCAAGATTAAAAGAAGGTCGATCCTGGACGACTCTGAAATTCGTTCCAAAACATCACAAAAGTCGGTCTTTAGAGGTTTAGGTAGTCTGGCCTGTAGTCTCAAAATAATACACATTCACAGCACCATTAAGCTTTGGTACTCCCCCGTAATAATGCTCTGCCGCTATAAGCAACTTTCCAGATGTCATTTTTGAATCTCGTTGATTTCGACGGTTCCATCAAGCGCAACAAGAAACAGGAGGCAGTATTGAACACTTTTGTACGTTATATCTATTCTCCTTCTGGGCTGTCGAGAACTAAGGTTGTGATTCCAGAATGATCGGGAGAAATTTCTACGCGAGCTTGAAGCTCAAAGAAGAGCGAGAGCTGTTGGTGAGTAACTACATTTTATAAATGTTTTTGGCACCTCAGTGCGAGTGAGAATGGGTCAAAAATAATTTGCGCTGAAATTCCTATGAGTTAGCGATGGTCCTGATCACGAAGTAGATCGCTTTCGGCGCTGGCGCCAATTCGACGCCAAGTGGCGCCACAACTGATTCCCATTGAAATTCGCTGTAAACTTCTGTATAGAGGTTATTTGGGGCCCTGATTACGAATATGACATTCGTTTTTGTTGGCGCGCTATTCGGCGCTATTTCCTGCTCGTCTGCGCCCTCGCACTAATTAGATCGCAATCAGGACTAAGCCTTTGAATAGTGGAGGGCTCCAAAGTGAGTAGGGCACTCCCCTGTGGTCTAACACACTCCAACTTTTGCCACACGGTGCGTGGTTACTCTTTGTTTTTTCTTTTTCGATTTTCACCCCCTCCCCTAAGCTTAGTCTCAGGCGCTACAAATAAGTGAGAAAGCTAGAAAAGCAGAAAATATGCGTTAAACAGCACGAATGTCAAAAACGAGTGTCATATTCGTGATCAGGGCCCCAAATAACCCCTATACAGAAGTTTACAGCGAATTTGGTGATAATCAGTAGTGGCGCCAACTGGCGCCAAATGGCCCAATTTGGCGCCAGCGCCAAAAATGGATGTCATATTCGTGTGATCAGGACCCTCGATAACCCCCATAGCAGAAGTTTCAGCGAAAATTATTTTTTGACCCATCTCACCCCTACTGGGGTTGTAATAGTGCAATAGTGCCGATGTTTCTTCGTAAAATGCAAACCATGTATAACGGCGAATACAAGCAGGATAAGCTACTAGATTTCGGTGTCATTAGCATAATGCAAGGCACCAATATTTTTTTTTTTTTTTACAATATCTGAGAATTTTCTAATCAAACAAGCTTCATTCGTATTTCTCCATTGGCTTTTATATCTGCATACAAGAGAGGGATAGACTTCTGGAAGATTGTTTTATACTTCAAACATATTACTTGTAAAAGCTGCATTGCAGATCAAAAGCAACAAAACGCAGCTAAAACTGTGCAAAGGTCGTGGCGTGCACAATCGAGCTCGCTTCGTTGTTTCTCAACAACTCAGGACGGATTTTGATAAAGTTGGGCGACCAACAACCAAGGAGGTTCTCATTCTCACGTTTTCTAGTTCATCTATGAATCAGTTTGAAACATTGCCGTACAATTTGTATTCTTCAACCATCCCTCTTCGTTTCTCTAGTCGCACGTATATTTTTTTCTTTAATGGGAGATTTTCGTTGGATCAAGGGACATCGTTGTACGCAGCTAAAACTCTTAGAGTCGTGGTAGGGGCAATTCAAATCAATTCTGTCCCTGTTACTGTTAAAGATTCAAATTTTCAGCTGTACTGAGTTTGTTCTATTGTGAAATCATGCATTTTTAGGCGCTAAATCTGCAAATTAGGCGAATAAATGTGTTTTATCACTATCCAGAAGATGACAGCCGCCTGGTAAGTCTTGTAACCTTGCTATATATCTTATTGGAGTTTGCGTATTGTAGATTTTTCTGCTAGCGTATGTTGCCATGAGACAAAGTCTTATTACGATTCCATTTGTAGAGCAACTTCAGGGCCACAATTTTTATCTTACAGGTCACGCTTTGCTCTGCGGCACTGGGTTTACGTCACAGTTGTGGCGATGAAGACTTGGTTGGTGCTCAAAGTCGTGTAGTCTTCTATAAATGCCTCCTGAAGTATTTGTCACATTCTGGAACCGATACGAATTTTGTGATGCCTATTAGGTGGATATTTTTCATACAGCTTCCCCCAACCATGTTTCTCTTATCCAATCTTCATTTTTCAGGTTCCTGGATACATTCGTCGATGCTCAAGACTGTATTTCTTTAGTGAGAGTAAGCCGATTGATGTATTCTTTTCGATCATATTAGCGTGAATCCTCCCTAAGATGAAGGATGAACGTTCAATATGTGATCGCGCGGCGCGTGACGCAGTTGATCCCTCAGTACGCTTAATGAAATGTCGTGCAAAAATAAGTAATCAGAAAAATCATGATCAGCTCAAGCCTACACATTGGTTCATGCTTGAGCTTAAGGTTAGGCTTAAGCAGCCAGTCATAGTAGGCCAGGCTTAGGCCAATAACTAGCAAATCAATATTGACCTGATCTGACCAGGACCTCGATATACACCCGCTCTGTCGACGTATAAATGATCATATAATTCTTCAAAGCACTTTTTGAACAGATATAGATATGCTGCAATTCAGTAGCCATTCATAAATTCGAGCCCATGATTCCTTCTGCTAGATTATCCTGTCGATGCCAGGATAGAACGCTACCAAACTTCAACTTCACGAGAGCGCGAAATTGGAGGCGATTATTAGTCTGCATTTTTTTCTGGTACTTGACTGCGAAACCTTCATCAACGAATTATCTACCTACTTTAGTGGTTCATGATGCTTTAGCGGTGACATCATTCGAAAATCATCAGCAGACATTTTCCTTCAAATCTCGTCTTAGCACGTCATCGTGGTAAAATTTCAACTGATAGAATTGTCTCGCGTAGGCACATACAACGATTACTGTCTACTATGTCAGTTAGGAACTGATAATTTGTCAAGGACGGGCTAAGCCATTTAAAGCATAGTGTAAACACTAAAACATTGACTGCATTTTCATAAAACTGTAGATTTCCTCCTAATCGTATGATGAAGTCTGGAAGATTGTGAGAAGGATCAAAACAATACTGTCTATTATCTCTTTACTATTCCTTTTCTAAGTTACTAACAGTAATAATTGCGAGATCACATTCGCGAAAATAAGAACACTTTTTTATCTCCATTCACGGATCAGACAATCTTCGAAAGAGTGACGCAGTGCGAGGAGGTGAAGCATGCCAAAAGATGGTGTCCGGCAAACTACCAGAAAGTGAACGAGTTCACGTTGCTAAGGGAGAGGCCAAAATTCCATGACTTTCGTTTTTGCTAATATTGGACTGCCTAGCAACTTTTATCTCCTAGCTTTTGTCAGTTATATAAAATTTGTTGTTTGATGTGGCAGATTTTTATGTTGTCGAATTAATCTCACTAATCTTTTTAGATGGGATATTTCGAATGCTTGCTGAGTTTAATCGCGAAGCTATCTCCCCATTACGACGAGGAAATTACCTTCGTAATGGAAAGGCGCTTACCACCACGCCTTGAATCGCTTTGTGAACATCTGATGGTACCTATTATGCGAACATCTTCAAAAGAAAGGTACTGTTCCATAATGATGCCTTTCATATATATCTCATATACATTACTTGATGGCAGTTTATTTTTAGTTCACTTTACATGTTCACTGAAATTTTATGCAATAATCAGAATTGTCGTAGAAGCTCTCATGGAAATATTCTGAGATATTCCCATGCTGTAATAGTCCGATCTGTGTTAAACAAACGTAGAACTTGAGTCTCCGTGATACTTTTCACATTGTTTCTTTACTGATGGTGAGACTAAAATATGAGTCGTTCTGCTCGCTTCCCAAGGTCTTGGATATGCCTTTCCCTGCTCATCACTGAGTAACTTAGATAGGGAAGTGTAGCATTTTCATTTGCCCCCTTTACAATTGGAAGCATGTATGGATTGATCTTTCTACGACTGCCGTGCTTACATCGTTATACTAGCGGGAGTGTGCGCACGAAAAAGTAGGAGGTGCATGCGCTGTCAGGATTTCTATGGCATTGATATCGTACTGCATCTTTCAGTGAATGCTCTAGTTGAATATTCCCCAACCAAGTGAGCGAAGCAGAAGCTTGTTTTTTCGAACGGTGACCAGAAAGCTTCTCTGGAGTGTTCGCTGTTCTCGCACTAGTTGTAGGACATGTGGACATGCTGTCCACCAAGAACTGTATCACAAGCCTCCAATGCTTTTTACTATTTGCTATGGGTTGTTGACGAGACCGCCACTTCTGTTTCATTTTTTGTTGTATTGTCATAACATTGTGCAATAATCCCAAATGCCGTGACATGAAGCGGAAGCTTCCACGCTTCTAGCTTCTATTGTGCTGTACACTCTTATAGGGATTCTGTAATACCATCAATGTCTGAAGCAGAGATGAAATCTTAATGGTTCCTAAATACGTGTCAATTTTTTGCTGGTGATCTCACGGGGAGCGTTCTTGCTCTGCAGATTGTGTGTCCGGCCTCTAAATGTGTTTTATTAATTTATTTTCCCGACCATAACATCGGGCCATAAACGGATGGGAGGATCATGACAACGCAGCAGGTGTTGAGAAAGATTGTTCAACAGTTTTTTGAAATCCGTATTACAGGGTATGGGCATTGCGCTCCTTATTCCGATCAGTACTTGTTAGCAAGGACTTGTCTTCGATGGTCTTAGTTGTGATACCTTATATTTCTCGTTGCTTTTATGGCTCTAAGTGAGTTTGATAACACTATCATACTTTTGTTTCAGTTCGCTTACATTTGAGTTTCTACATAATTATGGATTGGCTCTGGATTCATCGACAAATTTCAGGATTTCTCTTCGTGATGTTTTGCAAGCCTTTGGGCAACATCCTTCGGATGATTCTGTGCCTGTAGGAATCAGTTCAGTATTTTTTGTGAGCACTATCTTGGAATCTTGCTGTCAAAAGGAGTGTGGGTTTCTTAAAATTAACGCTATACCTTTATTTGATATACTATGAAAGTTCGTCAAGGTACTTTTTGTACTGCATGCCTATTCTGAGCTGCTGAATTTCTCTTACACTTTGTCTCCGGAAGTAATTGGTTGGGATGCGGTTCATTTGAATAGCTCCTGATTCTACTGTCAGTCAAAAGGTCCCCACCGTTTCACATATCCATTATTTCCCCCACTCCATATCCTTTATTGAATATTGAAGTAAGTTAACTCTTCGTATTTTTCTTTGCCGCCCACATGGGACGAAACGTTTTTTGCATGCAAAGCGTCGATAACTACACGGCAAAATCTGTTCTGTAGCTCTTCAAATCGAAATACCAAAATGTTCTTGACTAGAGTGCTCCAGAAACATTTACAAACAAAGGAAACCTGTTAATACCGCTGATACTGAAATGTTTAATGAAATTTTAGTGACATCGCCTGATATTCTCAAAATTGGGGGAACTGGTAAGAAAGGGAGAATCATCTTTTTTTGTTATTAATATGAGCTTTCCTTTCTATAATTGGCATTCTACTAACATCTAAAACCTCCTAGATGCAAAAACTGTGTATGTGACGAAATGACGCCTCTGTTTGACTGTTAACCAGTTTTCATGGTCAAATAAGGCGGGAGAATTCGTTCAAACTATTTAGTTTGAGACCGAAAAAATTGCCTGACAAAAATCCGGACACTGAGGGGCAACAGGTACTTTTGTGTTTGCGTACGAATGATACTGTGCCTACTTGACCATCAAAGCCACCTCAGTTTCAGAAGGCTATAAATGGGCTTCCACTGCCGGCGACTTCATAATTAGAAGGCCGATATGAACATGCCTTAATGACATTTTACTGTTAGTAAGAATTACGTGGCTGTAATTCAATTGGCAGAGCATTTTCGCAGTTCATAATTGATACAAAAAAAGTCCCTGCATTAGGAAGATCACGGGTTGCAGCGAGTCTGGTATCTTAGGATCCTGAAGTAATTGTTGAAATAGAAAACTCACGGGTTTCATTCAAGTTTCCTCACGGAGAAGTTTGTCAACCCTTTGACTAATGGTGCTTCATATGTTACCAGCACTTGTCAGAGTGTGAAGCACTCAGCATGAATTAGGTAAGTGGAGAGAGATACATGGTTTGTTGCGAAACTTGTTTAGTACGTCTAAGCACCTTGTAGTAGTAATTACATGAATCTCTCACGTGTCGATCTACAGTCCGCCACTCTTGCTCGATTTTATGGCTCGGTCTAGGGAATCAAAACTACACATAGCTTTGCATCTTAATAGTAAAGCATCACCTTTCATTGTCTTGCCTTCCACGCCCTTGCGGAGAAGAATCCCTTTTCTGTAATGGTTTTGTACCAGCAGTTTCAGTTATACGTTTGCTATACTTAACTTTGAATTTTAGTAACTGACGACGACAAATTTTTGCTTTTGTCGACATGTGCTGGCTTCAAGGAAGCCTATCAGAGAAATAGTTTTGTTGGAGCCTCGATGACGACAAGCAAAAATAAGGTAAGGTCATGGAAAATCATATGATTTAATCAAAAGTGATTTAGTATCTATGAATTTGTCACAGAAATCTGAACTCTTGGGGGGCAAGGGCGATCATACTGTTGAACCGCTCCTTCCTCCAATTGAGTAGCATAATTAAGAGGGCCACTAGGTTTCACAAACACCGTTTTTCTAACGCACCTTTCGGAGTTGAATCACTGTTCGAGACTATATGTCTTTTGTTCGACAAGTTATTGGGAATTTTATTAAGGCATCACATATTTGTAGTGCAGCTTGAGCACCGATGAATTCGAAGAGTCATTATTTTGTTATCTTCGTAGCGCCAGGGTGAATGATTTCTGCCCCCACACATTCACAGCAGACACACTTTTTGATTGTTCTTAGTTTGTTAACTGCTGTTTATGGCCACAGTCCGACATCACAAAAGTGGTGGGTGATAGGCAAAGCACTGTCTCGGGCAGGGATTAAATTCTCTTTCGCAAGTTGGTTGCTGATTCGAATTTCGGGTGTATCTAATTACATCTTGTGGTTTTGAAGTGGCAGAAGAATATTATTATATTATTGAGTTTGCATCGGCTTCTCCTATGTCATGCGTGCGAAATACGTTCGTAATGCTTTTTTGATTCTGAATGGAAGTCAAATGCGTTTTCGGTCCTCATGAGATTGGATATTGCTGAAAACTCATCCTCATCTTTTCAGGTGGAAGCGTTCATGACATCATTCATTAGTGCTGCATTCGAGTCACCAACGTTCTCGGACCTCTGTAGGCATGCAGGTTTGATGCTTAACAAAATGTTTTCAACATCTTTCACATGATGCTGGGTTATGAACAAACTTTCGTCCTAGGCGAGACTCGAACCCGCACCTCTCGTTCACCGGGCAAGTGCGCTAGAAGTTCCCGTAATTGCCGCCTGGGACGAAAGTTTTGCTCATAACCCAGAATTCTTGTGCAACATTCGCAACGCGAATACTGCACAAGAATTCTGGGTTAAAACTGCGGCGTTAAAAGACCAGTTAACAAACAAAACAAGTTTTCAACTTTGTTTTGCGGCATGTTGCTGAAGATTTATCCCATGTTTGTTACGTTTTACAGTGAAATTTCCAAGTGATGAGAATATATGGTCGTTGGTTGCTTTCGAAAGGAAAATATTGAATTCGGACATGGTAATGTTGTTAGCGACATCCCCTGCATGCATGAATCGGTTTGTATTCTTTGCTTCAATCACTGTCCAGTTTTGTAGTTTGGGGAAGTAAGAAACTGTTGAGCAATATCTTTGCTCAACGGCTCAAAGTTCTCACCAATTAGGCTACCGATTAATTTGCAGTCTCTTTCAGATTGTGGATGTTATTAGTGAGTATGGAATCGCGTTGCTCCTCTGGTCGACTCGTGAATAATATTGATCTGCTCAAAATGGGTAAGTAGGGTATTTAGAAGAATAACGGAATGCTTTGACACAGGTGTCTCGTATTGCAGGGCATCCTCTTGAGGACGCTGCTCGTGATCGTTTGACACAAGCATTGTCTTTGTTCTGTGGATGTCTTGTTGCTGGGATCGCCTCCGTTGACGACGCCGATTTTGCCGTGGGGCATCCGAATTTAGTTTTCAGCAACAATAAAATGACGGAGATTATCACTGTAATTAGGTGCGTTACTGTTGTGGGTTTTAACTTTACCGCTCATGTTCACACAGGTACACTCGTTTTGTTATGTGTCTTGCGAGTGTTCAACATCATTCAGGGATGTTGGTCTGGGATTGATCGATCTAGCGTTCCCTGAAGACTTTTTTGCTACAGCTAAGGCAGCAGAGGAGAAGACCCGTGATGCAGCAAAGGTGAGAAATTGGTGTTGACTTATCGATCTGGTTTTCTTCTGCTGCGAGTTCAGGAATCTGTTGAGTGAGCATTCCCTTCCCGTCAACCCATGTAACTGAGTAGATTCAGTGGAAGCATAAAAAAAGTGTCGGCGTGGAACAACCCCATTTTGGAATGCGCCGCGTGTTTCATTCCATTCAGAATTATTGTAGGTATTTCGAGTGGGATTTGGCCTGGCAATGGCTTGCGGTGGCTAGCTGATGCATAATAGGTATTTTTATACCTATTCTGCATCAGCTTCAGACAAGCCTGGTACCAATTCATCGACTCCGAGTGGATTTAGGGTTTGGTTGGCCTCGGGTAATGCATGGCTCAAGATTTTCCGGGCCCGTGGTGTAGCAAGGCGTGCTGAGCAGCGGTGGAGGAAGTGGTGTAGCACTTGCTGTTGCTGCTACACCACTTCCGCCTTTATTTTTCTGCTTTGTACTGTCATCAATGAGTGTAAGGGTGATGTCAGAGTCTGCGATCCGTCGCAGGTCTGATTTTCTCGATTTTGGCGACTTGCGCGATTTCCGCGAAACCAGCGACGGTTGCAAGTGCCCATTTGAACATTTGAAACACTGAATATGAAACAAGTGGAATCATGAGCAGTCGTCATTCAGCCATCACTATCAAGCAGAAGTGGCGGCGGGATTGGAGAACACCTTGCAGTATTGATCGGGCACTTGTGATTTCCGTGACCCGTCGCGTGAATCGCGTGAATCGCGCAAATCGCGAAAATCAGCGAAATCTGCGACGGGCGGACAGATTTTTGCACAGCATGGTGAACAGTTCGAACTCAACGAAGTTCCAACGGATCTTGGGCCGATGTCTGGAACTCTGGTCAGAAGGGATCTTGCTTAGTCAGACTTATTGTATTTGGGAAATTGTCCATCATTTAACCGATTGAAGAAATTATGTAGCAGCTTCAGGCTGGAGCGATTACGGTAGCCTCCTTGTGGACAGATGACGTCATATTCTGAAGACGGTGAAGGCAGTGAAGGAGGGCCTGCTTCTGCTAGTGGGAGACATCTAAGAAATGTTTTGCTGTGAAACCACCATCAAAGGCACCGTGTGCTACGAAAGATTGGTGACTGTGCCACGGGCAGAATGGCTTGTTTGTCCCTTTCCCCCACCCCTGTATTACCAAGGGATTGCTTCGTGCACGCGATAGCGTGCGATTTCGAACTGATTTGAAGTGGTTTTGCCGCGGAACTTCCATCTATCTCCTCTTCCTAAGATGGATAGTTCCGGTCATGAACAAAATGTCTTCTTGTTTGATGCTTGTATATTTTTTAGCGGTGAAGGAGTCATTAGGTAGTCGAAAAAAACAATCCTGAAAAATTAGATGTTGCTGGCCACTGATCTCGGCCCTTGCCTTCCTTTCGATACTTTCATTTGGAAAATTCTCCACTGGTTATTTTTAAAAAAAATGTACTGGTAGAATACTATTCTTTAAACCCTAGTGATGATTTTGGTAACAATCCTGTAATACATATGAAACTTTGAATCCTTTGAACATTGAATTATAATACAGGGTTTTCCACCCCAATTCGTAAACTTTGCATTCCATTTCGTAAACGTTGCAAGCAATTTCGTCAACGTTTCAGCTATTTTCGTAAACGTTTCAGCCCATTTCGTAAACGTTGCAACCAATTTCGTCAAAGCAGCAGATATTTTCGTAAACGTTGCATCCCATTTCGTAAACGCTTCAGCCCATTTCGTAATTTTCGTAAACGTAGCATCCCAATTCGTAAACGCTTCAGCCCATTTCGTAAACGTTGCAATGGATTTCGTCAAAGCAGCAGATATTTTCGTAAACGTTGCAGCCCATTTCGTATTCCTTCCAGCCCATTTCGTATACGTTGCAACCAATTTCGTCATTGTAACGCCCAATTCGTCACTTTTGCAAGCAATTTCGTAAACATTGCAATCAATTTCGTCAATTTCGTAGTGTGCGAATTGCTGTAATATTTTATGTATATTAGGCGCAATGTGGCTCGGGGGAGGGAGGGCGGGCAGTCGCCGCCGCGGCGTGTGGCAGCACGAAATTCGTGAGCTAGGGGGAATGAAGCCATTTTCGGGGGGGGGTCGGGGTGAGGGCATTACTTAACATGCGTGATAAGCTGGAATGTTCGAATTTACACTACTTCGCTGCCCCCCCCCCCACATTGCGCCTGTATTTGTAATGTGTGACAATTTACAGAGCACAACTAAGCTACAATCAGCTAACCACATCGTTGGCAGAAAACGTCACACTGGGCAATGAGAACTGCTTACGCACCTCAGTATCCCTCTTCTCCTCTGAGGTTTATTCCTGAAACTGGGTTCCGGTGAATCTGACGCAGCGATACGGGCTGGCCCCCTCCCCCCCCTGGAGCAACATGCGCCTCAGAAAAACTATCACATTTTGTGTAGCCGTCGTCTTAGGTGTTTGCTCTGCTCTGGGACGGGAAACAAAGATTTTTCGGTCCATTTGGAAACATACTATGTACCACTACTGCATGCAAATGTAGGTGTGAAAAGTAGCCGCGTTAGTTGTAACACTTCAGTAGTAAGTACATATTTTTATCGAGAGTTCATTTCAAATGTAACTCGGGGAGGGAGATGTGGCATGCGATAGCGCAGCGTTGTTCTCGCCTGCTCCTCCAAGTCAGCGATGGCTGGCTTGACGGACTACTTTAACTCGGACCTTAAAGCCGCCTCAATCCGAGGCTCTCGTCTGTGCTCCCTCGCCCTATAAGCGGCTAAAGACCAATTTGATCTCACACATTTGAACTTTTGCCACTCTGTAATGGGCTCTTTCACTCCACGGATCTCTTTCACTGAGGGTCCTCTCTCAATGGAAAGATCTCTAGCCGGTTGGTGGCGAGGCTACGTGGCGCGACCCCAGGTGGCGGATAGGGGGTAAATCGCGGACCAAAAGCCACCATGTACTTGCCCTGAGACGCAGGTGGATTCAGGGGATGGACTCCCTGTTTCTGTAGTGCTGTGTTGATTCATACCAGCTGTCTCACTCAGGCGCATCCATGCATGCTTGCGTGTGTGGTGCGCTCTGTGTGTGTGCGGTTGGTATCCTGCATGTCGGCACAGCCAAAAGCTTGCATTCAAGTGACTGGGAAGTACATGGGAGGCGATTCGGGGCCGCCTCCAAGAAATAAGCCCCTTGTTCCGCTCCAGGATAGCGTGGCTAACTACCTGGAGGTCTATCCTAGCCCGCACGACAGAGCCTGGCAAGCTACTCGTGTGCCTTCAATATGCCGAAAACAGCAATATGGATGGGCCTCATTCCCCTGAACCTGAGGGAGCCCCCAATACGGCAGCGTTGGGTAGGACCGCTCGGGAGAGGCTGCTAGAAATCTCAGGGCCCGGATAGGCTGCCTAAACGAAGAAGGACTAAGATGGCGATCTGTACTTTCAACGCACGAACGCTTGCATCCGAAGCTCACATCGAAGACCTGATGATGCAAGCCAGGAAGATCAAGTACGACGTCATCGGACTGACCGAGACGAGAAGGCACCGCCCGCTACACGCCGTTTTCGATACTGGAGAAGAACTGTTCCTTGGAACATGCGACAGCAGAGGCGTTGGCGGTGTGGGTGTCCTCGTCAACACGCACTTGGCCATAAACATCGATTCGTACGAAAGCCTTACGACCCGAATCGGACGTTTGAGATTGAGAAGATGTGGTTCAACTCCTGCTTTGACAATCTTCGTCGCCTACGTGCCCACATACAGTT